ATTCTGGTGTCTGGCAAGTCAGTGAAACTCGTACACTCAGTCATTACACTCCCAATACACACTCTATACCCCTCGGGTCCATGACATGTACCCGCCCCCTACAGAGGGCAGGTCATATCCGAACCCAGGAGGTAAACCCATTCATTCTGGGGTGGAGAGGAGTAGACAGCCTAGGCATGGCCCAGGCTGTACCAGGTCAGCCAACCGGCCCCCCGCTGCAGCAAAGCAACACCCCTGTCCACCCCCACACACCACCAACGGCCAAGCTCACACCCCAGCTGACCACCAACCAGGCCCCAGCAGCCATCCCAGCCAGCGGGCCACCTATGGCAACTAGGGGCCGCAATCGGAGAGTCTGAACAACCCTGGGGAAGACAGACCGCCAGCCCCCCAGGCTCCCGAGTCCATCCACAGCCCAGGCCCCCACCAGATGGTCCGTCTCTTCTTCAAACCCCACCCCCATACAGCAGTCGGAGATCGGAGGAGGTCAAGAGAGGAAAAAAGAAAGACCCCGACACACACACCCCCCACCCCCAGATGTGCTGTTGATGCATGTTGTTCTAAAGTGCAATTAAGATAGGTAAGAAGAGGAGCAGAGACCAGCTTTGTGCCAATTTTCCCTCCACCCTCACTCCAACCTAAAAAACCCTAAATGTCTACAAGGAACCATTGGGGGTGGACACAGGCACCAGTGGCGAGAGGGATACCCTCTCGCCCCTTGCATGCCATAGAGTGCCCACCCCAAGCTCCTATATGTGAATGTCATGAAGATGTAATTGAATATCTGGAGTGCATAATAAAATTTGGGCTCAGGTGGTTATGTCAAACAGAGTTGTAAAACTGTCGATCTTGCAACACACCTGCGTCCCAAAAACCCTTCATGAGTGGAATTGAAAATGAGGGGGTGAGGGTATGTGGTGAGGGATGGGGAGAAAAACAACTGAGGGAACAAACTGCTCCCACAGGGAGTCAGCTCCACTACTGACCCCGGAAGGACCCCCCGCTCCCTGAAACCCACCCAGGGAGTGAGGTCCAAATGCCACCTCCTCTTGACCAAATGCCAGGCCCGGGGAGCCCCAGGTCACGGACAAAAACAGAGCCCAGGGGACCACCAGAGAACAGGATCAACAATCCATCCATCCCAGAGCCATCAAGACCCCCAAGACCGGACCCCCAGTCCCACAGCCAGCCTGCAACCAAAAGAGGCCACCGAACCCCAACAAGGAAGGTTCGGCCAAGACAGCGCAAGGAAGGACCAAGAGTGAGCCCCGCCAAAACAAAAGGACCAACTACCTGCCCCAGCACAGCCCCTGGCCACCACCAAAGGCCATCCACCCATCCCCCTCCCCCGAAAAAATACTACACTCACCCCAAGATTAAGACAACTTTCAGAAGATATAGCATACTAGACACCCAGGCTGGGTTGACCTACCCCCAATTGGCCACCAGCCCTGTACCCAGTCACCACTACCCCCGGCCCACCAGCGCACCGAGGGCTCCCAGCCCAGGGCCGGGCACCAGGGCAAAAAGCGGCCCAGAGCCCGGCAACTGCACGCCAGGGCCCAAGCCCCCAGGCCCTCCAGGACCGCAGCTCAGGGGCGGCATGATCCCAGAACCCCAAGCCCCCCATGCCCACCCCGAACCCACCCCAGCACAGCTAGACCACCGGATCGGCAACCCATGACCGCCGCCACAGATCTGAGGGCCCGCATGCAGCCACCAGAAGCCCCCCCCCGATAAAAAAAACCCCAGTGCCCTCCCCGAGGTAAGGGTAGGGTCCCACCCGCACAGGAATCCCCAGCGGGGGTGTTTAATTG